ATGTGAACGTTGCTTCGTTTTTTCTGGTTGCGTAATGCGCGGGAATCATTTTTGGACAGAATTGTCACCGGTGATGAAAAATGGATTCTCTTTGCGAATATTAAGCACCGAAAACAATGGCAGCAACTGGAACGTTTAAATCAAGACCTTCGTCAGAAACGCTCTTCACTCGTCAATCGGAAAGGTGTTCTTCTTCTCCACGATAATGCACGTCCACATGTGGCACGTTTGACGCAGCACAAGATTATGGAGTTGGGTTGGGAAGTGTTTCCCTACACACCATATTCTCCAGATATAGCACTATCAGATTACAGTGTTTTTCGTTCGCTGCAACACCATCTTAATGGGAAAACGTATGTAATTGTTTTTTGCTTCAAAGCCAAGTGATTTCTTTAATCAGGACATTAACAACCTGATTGTAATATGTAAAAGGATCATCGATAAGAATAGAGACTATTTCATTTAATAAATGTTTTGTTTTGACATTAATTTCTTGACGACCTAATACTTCCCATTGTTGTGTTTGATCAACTTTCCACCTTTTTTGTGATTTGATTTTGCCAGTTCTCTATCTCTAATAGATTTGGTCATGTGTTTCAACACACTAGATATAACTTATACTTTATTGAAATTTTATTCCATACACTTTAGCTAATGTTTTTAGGTTAAGTCGTAGCCTATTTTACTTTAATTTTATACGTAAGTAAATTTTAAAGGTATTTTTTTTCTTACAATTATTCCTGAAATTATTTTAGCGTGTTAAGCATAGTCAGAATCCTTATATGTAAATATATAAAAGTAAAGAGGGAATTTTGTCATACCGATTTCAAGAAGATGGAGAAAATTACAACGCAAAAAAAACAACAAAAAAACAGAAACAAGAAACATACATTTCAATTAGAAAAAAAAATGTACTTGAAATATATCAAACTTGTTACGCTGTTCTTTTTCTTCATATCGAAGTCTGTGATGGTGGATTGCTCCAGAAAGAAACTGTTAATGACAAACAGGCAAAAAACAAATTTAACAGCGATCAACATTCATCGCATATCAAACATAACTAGTCTGTGTTAACAATGTTATATTCCATACGTGGTGTTTTGACATAACGACCGACAAAACCTGAGCATTTGGGAGCATATATGAAGTTTCTTGGCTGGTATATTTATATATTTTATTCTACGTCAGTTGCCATAACACATAACTGAAAGCTGACGTGCTTCTTTTAGTGAGTCAATTGTTAGGTGACAAGTGTAAACAAATTAGACTACGTAGTGTCTGTCGGTGAGTAGGTAGTGTTTATATTGCCATTCTGTAACTCGTACAACAGATTTTAATTTGTCAATGGCCAATACTACAAAGTATTTAGAGACAAAATTACTAATGTTTGCCGAGACCATGAAGCTTTGCTTAGGCTCAATATCTTGTTGTAAGATTTGGTATTTCTTTTTATTTGCCCCATCGTGTCTTTTTCCAAAACTGATATACGAAGGTTGCCAGTTTGGTAATCATACCTGTACTTAAGATGTTCGAGTTGTTAAGCTAGTTGTGATGGATCTTAGGAGCTTATTTAAAACATTTACTTAATGAAGATGAGCGATAACTCAATAAGTTTTCATATATGAAGTTATTGATGATTTTATTGGTTTTCTTTAATATGTTGAAAAAACACACACCAGTAACTGTTTCTTCCCTTTAAGTTGACCATCTCCAAGTCTTTCTATAGATCTTGTGTTTACATGTAATTGTTTTATCATTAAGATGAGTAGCACGTAAGTTTAAAGGACTTATCTATTGAGAGAGAGGTTTAAAAAGGGGGGGGGGGAACGATATTTAGCAAGTCTTTCCGTTCGTGCAATTTTTATAAACGGCTAATATGACAACGAAAAAATAGAAATTCAACCCACTTTTGTGATAATATTCGAATTTAATAAAACAGTTTGAATCTATTCCATTATATTGAAATCAAGAGCAATTCAGGGTAATTTGATAAACATTACATTTACTTGTATCGATTTGGAGAGCCTCATTCTCATCTCATTATCGGATAATTACGGCCAGGCTCGAACAAAGCTAGCGCGACGTGGCAGCGATTGAAGGGACCGTTTAGAATATTAAATAAAATAAAAAACAATTCTATCTCGACACAACTACGTGCCACAAACAAGTGAATGTACAGGAATATGTCGACACAACAACGTGTCACAAACAAATGAATGTACAAGCGTCATCGGTTTTCATCACTAGAGTACTAGGTCAGCTATTTGAATAAAAAGTATAATTTTAAACCTTAGAAGTTTTCTATAGATCGTTAAATATGGTCTGATAAATATATCCAACTCCCTCTACACGTGCGGGATTATCTTAAAAAATATTACTTAATGGTTATATAAAGGAAGATCGATCATCTCTTCGAACTCTACAAGCCAAAAAGAAGAAGAAGAAAAAAAAAACAGCTCACACAAACTCCTTGTAAGATACATAAAAAAGAAATATCTATAAGTAACTGTTAAAGAAGAGACATTTGTTGCCTATATATTGAAGTATGGATTTGGGTAACGTTTAAAGTTTTAAGGAAAGAGTACAGGGAGACAGTCTTGTCTTCTGAAAATAATGATTCATTAACTATTAAACGCTAACAAAGCCTACTAAGACACGTCGTTTATTTTTTGCTTCTGCCACCTTCTGCTCCGTGTTCTCTGTCATGAGACACATATTTCTGTTACCTAGAGGTGAATATTACGTCACACGTTTCTGTTGGACGTCATAAAAATTTTCTCTTTAGAATAAAAAAAACAACTATTTCAGCCCACAATTGCTTCCAAAATCTAGTAACCAACAACACTGACCGAAGTCCAGATAAACAGAATGATATCTAGATAAACCGGTAATATAGACATTGTCATTTCTTCTCTTGAAGAAGAAGTCAACTATTCGAAAGCGCTCGAGTTTTGGGTCTTGTTTGAAAACACAGATAAATTGGTCTCCTAGTTCATATAAAGTTTAATAGATGTAGTTTTGACAATGAAGTGTTTCAAAATCATTCAAATAAACAGGATAGATAGGATCGAGGTGGCTCATTTCCTTGTTACGAAAAAATGTGAAATATTTTTACATGTGAATAAATTCTGTAATTTACAAAGGTAAACTTAGAAACAGGAAATACTGGAAAACAAAAAGAGATAATGAACAAGTAATAAAGGTTTCATATTTTATATGAAATAATTATGGAAAATGAAGTAATATTTACTTACGTATATATATTATGAATTACACACACACACACACACACACACATAGAAATGCACGATAACATAATTACCGTTAGACACGTACACATTACACTCGTACACATTTACATACGTACAAATGTACACAAGCGCATTATAAAGATACGAACACATACAGCAACAGCAGGACAGTGATCATTTGTTTCATAATAAGTCTTTTCTGGGCTGTTATTGCAAGCCCCAACTTGTTTGTCACTACACTTTGCATTTTTATTCTAAACGTTGTAATGCTAACATTGTGACCGGACCTTACTATCTAGAATTTTAATTGTAGTATGCTGTCATACGTTTTACTTAAATACGGCAACACAAACCTCCGCCCCCTGCTGTTGGCACTGGGTATTAACAATCTTTCTTCATAACGACCTGTGAGACGAGGTAAGTCAATCTCAGAACATCTTAGCTTATATCCACCCCCTGTGGCAACCCCGTTTTGTAGCACACATGCCGCCGTCATGTGCAGCTCACCAGGCCTCGAGCCTTCAGTCGTTACGATCTATCATGGCAGTTATTCTATCTCAACGGTGTCTGGTTAAGTAAAATGAGCCCTCTGTTGATGAGTGTTAGAAATTCCAGTGATAATGTCTTTAAAACTGAGGGCATAAGTTAAGTCGTGCGTTAAACATAACACAAAGTTAAAGGATGTTAGAAGTTGGATCCAAATATCTTCAAATTTCAGTAAATTAAACACACGAGGCACATAATTTATATTTGTTCCAGCGGCGGATGTTTACCTCATTTGAAACATCAATCTATAACTAGTCGAGATAAGTTTGAGGTTTTTGTCCTTCTTAAAGAACATGAAACAAATTGCAGTAAATTTCATCTTCTGAAAATAAATTACACTCAACTAAGTAATTTATTTTGCAAGAAGTGTTCCGTTGTGAAGACAGGATGCTGTTTGTTTGTTTGTAATTAAGCACAATGGGCTATCTGTGCCCTGCCCACCATGGGTATCGAAACCCGGATTCTAGCGTTGTAAGTCCGCAGACACTGGGGAGCGACAGGATTCTGATAAAGGAAGGAACAATAGTAATTTTTGTTTAATTTCTTCCCAACATATCTGAGGTTAAATAGGGTTCGGTTAAGCTAGGTTTCTGGTTATTCTAAATTGAACGAGGTGATTTGATGACGTAAGGTTAGGTATGTTAAATTTGTGGGGAGAATAAGTTATATAAAATAAGATAAAACAGGTAAGATTTTGAGAAATGGTATGCGAATGGGGAAGGAAAATCGCCCCACCCCTATAATTTCGATAGGCTTATCAATTTCAATTGAATTTTTGATCCAAAGTAAAATAATCAACCAATGTAAACAAATAAAGTATCTTAAACGAACGTGATAGCTGCGGGTAAAGAGTCGAGAATATAAGATAAAGAGATTAAGTAAGAACAACAGAAAGCCATAATAGGTAGGCAAACAACGATTTAAGCATAAGGAAGAATTTTATTGATGGTCTAAAGAATACAGCCCAATGTAGTATGTTCCATCATTAAGCAATTCTTCTTATGCTTATAAATAGTTGTTTGTCTACTTATTATCATATGAGCATAATGTACTTCCTTCCTCAAGGTACATGTAAATTTATCATTAAACTGCTGATTTTCATGTTGATTTCGTTCGTACTTTCCATACTTTCCATCAAAATAATATAAATAGCCTAAAGTTGTCACGAAAAAAAAACTTCGTAGGTTTTGTGAGGTTGTTTTAAAAACATACCACGCTAAATATAAGACAAATGAAAACCAGTTACACTTGTTTGTATAAATGAAAGACAAATCAAAGCCAGTTACACTTGAAGGGTTGTGTAGTGTAAGACAAACCAAAGCCAGTTACACTTGAAGGGTTGTGTAGTGCAGAAAATGGAAACAAATTATACTTAGAGGGTTGTGTAGTGTAAGACAAATCAAAACCAATTACACTTGGTGGATTGTGTAAGATCATACATGGTTGCGTAGTGCAAGTTCAATAAAAACGAGTTACAATTGAAGGGTTATGTTATTCTTTACACAAACCGAGTGAAATGATCTGTTTAACAAGTAAAATGCAGCTTTGTTGTTGTTTTTTTTTTATGAACACTTTTAGTTATTCAAAGAAATTGAAAACATATAACTCATCATATTTCTCTATCCCCTGAGCATGTGAAAAACAGCCTTCAATGCTGTGTTCTATTTTTTGTTTTGGATATTCGCGCAAAGCTACACAAAACTATCTGCGCTAATTTTACACTACCAGGCTAAATAGAAAACATACTCCACAGTGTCTATAGTCAACTCTTAGGCTACTTTAATAGTTGGATTTGACTGCCGCTCTTATAACGTCAAATTCTAGACCCCTGTGTAGTGTAACAGCTGTTCTTATTACCCTAAGAACTTAACACTGAAAGTAAAGTATAACTACCATATCCAATGCCGTCGAAGTCATTTTTCCCAATACCAGGGCTCATCAGGTTGATTGCGATAAAACAGCCACGTTAATAGATACCCTTATCCGAGTGTTTGTGTTTAAACTTGTTAAACACGGGTGATAATTTTTCACAACAAATGTGATTCTTCGTATAATGTATTTCCCTAAGAGGGTGTTACATCATTACATGTATTATTAAATCTAGGCTAGAGCAAAATGTGAAGTTTATCCTTATATTGCATGGTGTACATCGTCATATATTGTAAACTTCTTCATCACATAATGAAGATTTCTTGA